ATTTAGTACTTTACAATGTTGGTTTGATATTATGCAGATTTAAATAAAAGAGTTGTGAGTAAACAAATTGTACATTAATTTTTGACAACCATTTATACATGTTTTTAATTAAGATTGTGTTACAACAGCTTCATAATGATCATTTTCAAATATGATATGATATAAATGGACCACTTCAGAAATTTGGATAAAATGAACAAACATAAAATTCAAGATATCTTGAGTTGGCAAAACAGTGTCAAAATATTCCAGAATAAGTGGACTCTTATGGTTATGATTCGAGTTTCAGGACCATGATATGGTAGTGTTTTTGCTGTTAACTGTCCACATGATTATCAACAACTGCTTTGATTATGAAATAGCAATGTTACTGACATAGGTCAAAGTAACTTTTAGTTGAAATGAAACCATTTCAATGTCATCAATTTAGAGTTGGCAAATCATGGCCAAATCATTTTTGACCATGTCCAAAACATGGTCGACTTTAGTTATGTCAGTGATTATTTTGACAGGGTTACAAGTTATAAGTATGTTTATAACAAAAGATAAAAATAATTAGGAATTTCAGTGAAAAAAATAGGGCATTTTTAGGAATTCCCTTCGAATTTTTCACTTTTTTAGGAATTTTAGGGATGCCCAGGACAGCCTGCATTAGCTTTGAACCACAGCATCAGCAGAAAGTTACAGCAATGCATGACCATCATCTGAATGGTCACCTGAAATAAAGTTGACATACTGATGCACTGCTTTTTATGGTGACCATGCAGATGGCTATGTGGAGCACAGCAGCCTTGAGCATAGTAATGTGATGCTGATGCAGGCATACACATTCTCTTACCTGTAAAATACAATAGGCCAGAAGCAGTACCAAAATTTAAATCTCTTTGAATTCCTCGGCAAAATATTTTTAAAAAAAATATAGGAAAAATATTCAAAATATAGGAGAATATAGGAAAAATAGGAGGTTTTGTAAAATATAGGATTCCAACCCAAAATATAGGAGTTTTATAGGAATATAGGAATTGGTTGACAGCCTGTAACTGTTTCGCACATGTATATTATACAGTTACCTGTTCAATTTGCCTTTTTTTTTCACCAGAGATAATTTCTTTTTCTGTATATTTATTTGTGCCACTAAAGTTAATCCCTTAACCACCTTTCCCAGTCGTCTTCTGTCAATGACATTGGTGGGGGTATGAATCCCATTTGGCGATAGTTCTAGTTTTATTTTCCTATTAAATATTGGTTTCTATTTATAAATCATTTATATGATCAAAAATGTTACATTGTTATGCTAATTTGTATGTAGTATGTAGTTGTGTTTAAATTTGTTTTATCCAGTTTGAAAAATAAATCAAGTTTATAAAGATTGTCTCTTTGTTTGTCTTGTTTTTGATCTTAGTTAAGAAAATATTCTGGCATGCATTAATATAATCCAAGAAAAACAGATTGCCTGTTTTTACTAGCAAGTTTGAACTGATTATTTCAAACTGTTTGAAAGTTGAAGTATAGCAAAAAAAGGTTTTCAAGATGTAACACATAAAGGAAAAGCTTTATTGTAACTTCATGTCAATACTGTGTTCAAGACTACTTGAAATGTGAGACCTTGTTTATCTTTAATTTTAATGGAAGCAACATCTGCAAAAAATTTCAGTGTTTTACTGAACAGCATTATCTAAGTTGAATGAGATAGACATGTGCAATATACATTACATAATTGCATATCATGTATTTGTTGGAGGTCCTGCAAAAGTTAAATATTAGCAATTTAATATGGTTATTTTAAAAAGCCCATTTTATCCTTTGACAGGATCCAGTGACCATAACATGTACACGGTTATTAACATTAAGAGCATTTCCTAGTAAGATATTTTACTGCGCCCTCTTGATATAATTCCGAATTCCAAACAGCGATGTTATTGAGCAATAAAATCACTGTTTTGGATATATTACTTCTTAAATCTATATCAGGTGACTGCATTAAAATAAAGCTCAATTTGTATTGACAGAAATTTTTCTTAGCTTGAACACTAGACTTCATCTTAATAGTTTTACATCTGCTTTTCAAATATGTATTTTTCTCTCTTTTCATCTGTCAAATATCTTGTTCCTTTAATATATTTATATTGAAAAAAATGTTTAATACTTGAAAACTTGATTGATTAATTGACAAACTTTTGGCCGTCTGTATGTATGTTTCACATTTTAAGTCACGCGTAACTCGAGTAGTATTTGAAACTACAGCCACCCAAATATCTGAGCTTACCCACACTTTTACTGAACAAATTTAGTGATAATTTTTTCCAGAAATCAAGAGGCATACTGCTGAATTTCATAATTTTGCAAAGGGAGACAAATCCGCCGATCTTGTCTGATACTTTCTATATATAAACCAGTGTATGTATGCCGTGTGTCAGAAGCGATGTTAGAAAAATAGTGTAATGTCTTTTGTTGTCAAGCTCTTCTTAACTGCTGCTAAATTCTTTATTGTAAATTTGGTGAATTGCATTATTGTGATTCTGTTCTAGTTTGGCCCAGTTTCATGTAAATGGGTATTAATTATATACACCAAGAATAAAGCAGTTACATTTTTTAATTTTAGAAATCTAGCATTAAGTTTTAAAGTTTTTGAAAAATGCGATTCGGTAAGTATCTTATTGGCAATTTGTCAAGTGGGAAAATGATGTCCGGGAAGTGTGACATATAATTGTCCGGGAAGCGTTACAAATTTAAAATTACACGCGTACATAATGGGGCACCGTAAGGGAGTGTATTACAGTTTCTGCGTAAGAATACAAATTCTCGCGTATTCTTTGAAAACAAATATGGGTTACGTGTCGGAGACGTACCAAACAAGGTCAGTTTTTGAAAGTTAAGTGTGAAATTTCTTATAAGTTTGGACAGGTACGTATACTAACACACATACCTTGTTTGGATTAAAGTTAATGTTTTAACTATGTTGAAGGTATTATTTAAGAAAAAATGTAGGAAACTACGATTCGTAGTTCGAAGCAACTTAAAAAGTTAACGGCTGATAACACATTTGCTAAATACGCTACGATTCTCTTTATTATACTTCTTCAAGTGTTCTGGTCACCTTCAAGTTGCCAGGTGAATGCACAAGAGGGAAAGAATAGAGTAAAACAAGTAAGAATAAGTACAATGCAGGTTAAAACGGACAATAGTGCGGTTTAGACAGATGAGTAGGGTCGGAATGTCCCACTTTACCGCCTGACGGGGGGAGGGGTGTCTTTATGGTGGCGGTGTTTGCAGCTTCTGTAGTTTAAATCGTTGGGGGGGTGTCTTTATGGTGGCGGAGTATGCAGCTTCTGTAGTTTAAATCGTTGGGGGGGGGGTCTTTATGGTGGCGTGGTTTGCAGCTTCTGTAGTTTAATTGGTAAAACGCCTCTGGTATAGAATTTTTTATGCCTACCAAGAGGAGTTCTGAGTTCAAATCTCAGCAGGAGCTCTAACACGTCTGCACATTGTTACGAAAACTGGTGCCGGAAAAATGTTCATAAAAGATATAATTTTAATTTCTTTAAATTTCCACAAGGAACATTCTTAGTCCTTACCCAAATCTCATCGGCAGTCCTGCCACATCCGACCGACTTAAGCGGTCCATACTCTTCCGATTTATCATTTCTGAGTTTCAATCCACCCGGAGTGGCCAAAAACAGGCTACTTTCCTCTTTAATGATACACCAACCCATCTTGATGTGCCCAAAGCATCAAATCTTCGGCTGCTTTCTCGTTGACGTAATACTGAGGAACGTGAAAGTTTACTACGCACGCGGCTCTTTGAGTTACGGTAACGTAGATACATGAGAGTACTAGTACCTCAGCCGCCATATTTGATCAGCGGAACAATAGTTCAGATCTGAAACAACTGTTTTGTAAAACTGGAAAGGTTATTATCGGCCCACAAAATATTAATGATATATTTATTGTTTTCAGTTTGTCTTAATAACTTCTCAGATATGTATTGCAGTGTATCCGATTATACTAGATGATGATTTTAATGGAGGGGGGGGGGGTGTTGATAGCTTCCTCCAGGGTAGCCCGGGATTCTATGATATCACGGTACTTAACGTTTATCGGAATATATTTAAATATAAATGATCAGTTTGTCTTAATAACTTCTCAGATATGTATTGCAGTGTATCCGATTATACTAGATGATGATTTTAATGGAGGGGGGGGTGTTGATAGCTTCCTCCAGGGTAGCCCGGGATTCTATGATATCACGGTACTTAACGTTTATCGGAATATATTTAAATATAAATGATCATAAATGAATGAGATTTTTTTCCATCTTATTATTGAACCTTTTACAGAACTGTTTTTCAAAAAATTATTTCAAAAGAACCAATAAAAATGACATTTTTTAGAATATTTTCAATGTCTGCCATTTTGGGTACTTTCAGGAGGTTACTACGGTATCAAGGTAATCCCCAAAAAAGCAAGTATGGAAGGATAGATGGGTCAAAACTTTAAAGTTCAGTTGTGAAAAACTTCCAACAGCTAACTTGCTATACAATTAAAACTATACAGTATGAACAGACTATATGTCAGTATTTGTGTTTATAACATATTTTAATTGACTGTATAAAAACCATTAAGGAAAATGGTAGTCAAATATGAAGGTTTTATAAAATAGTTTTCTGGTCACAAATACATTCATTATTCACCAAATTAAATTTATTGGCAAATGAAAATGAATCTAGTATGCAAGTTTTACAAATATTAGCATCATCAGGTGTTGCTTTTACTAGCAGTCACAGAAAATTTAAATACCTTGATATCATAGGAACCGAGTATACATAACCGCCAAATTCCTCTTATTTAAAGAAAGTTATCATGCTGGTATTATTTATTATTTTTCTTAGAAATATCAAGAAATGTTGAAAGTCTACCAAACTGCAGATAGACACATTAATGGGACTCCACTGAGGTTTAAAAGCCAACATAACATAAATAACTTAGTGGTCTTAACCTACATCAAATTGGTACATTTGGAAAAAAATATTTTCAGTCCCATCATGTCAAAAACCTCAGTGGGGTCCCTTTAATAGGTGAAAAAGAAATTTTTTTAAAGATGGGTGGAGGTGGCTTATACTTTTTTACAGATAAAAATTAACTTATTGTCAGTGGACACAAGAAAAAAAAGGAAAACATTGCATCAGGGAAATATTTATACCATTATCAAATATTATATGACAATTAACAATTCACATACGAATTTTATAGAAAAAAAAATATAAAAAAGAACATTAAAGCAACATACCAATGCTACCAAATTACAGGGAAAAAAGGGGTGACAAAGTCACTAGTACTTCTAAAAGGAAACCAAATGTCTTTTCAGACACTCAATGTTGACCTTAAGACAGACCTCAGATCGACTGGTTGTATGAAATAGGATAGATTGAAATTGCAACCATAACGGACCCCTATTTTCCAGTATTCCGGTGTCCAATTGCCATATTGGAAAACAAAATACTGGAAAAATAGGGGTCCCTAAAAAATAAATGCATCGCCTTTTTACTTTGAGGAGCATAATAATCAACCACATAATTTCATCCATTTACATGTATACAATATTATTCAAATATTTATTTACAGTGTTCTGATTTACTGAAAAGATGGAGGAGGATTTCAAAGATATCATTGGTAAAATATTTTCCTGTAATCAGAGCCTGCTAATGACATTTTAAATTACTACTTTTTAAGTAAGCTCCAGAATGTAAATTGAACAGCTCGATTATAATATATGTATTCCCAAAAGAATTGGGATCCTGGTTATGGTTATGATTGGACATTTTTTCATGTTTTTGTGCAATTCATTAATCCATTCTTTTGTCAAGTTCTCTCACCAAGAGGTTACTAGGTTTTTAGAATTTTTATTTCTTCTGGGACATTCTCATTGTATGTGAATTTGATGAGACTGACAATGGTAAACTATTTAATTAACATTTAAAAAAAAAAATAAAAAAAAAATAAATGAAAGAAGTAAATATTAATGAAATTTAAGTTATACAAGATAGTTTTCATTTTTTCGTGCAATTTCTTTGTAAAGTTTGCACACTCAACAAGAGGTTACTAGGTGTTGGTTTAATGGATTTAGTCGGAAGAGTGATTTACCTAATTTTGAAAATTATGCCATTGTTTTACAGATTATTATATGGAACAAGAAGAGTTCAATGATGAATTTGACGAGACTGAAAAAGGTAAACTATTTGATTAACATTTAAAAAAATAATAAATAAAAGACTTTCTTATTTTATGGTGTAATAACCTCACCATCCCATTCTTACCAATTATTTACAATTATATCTGAAATTAAGGTAAATTCTTTGAGAATTTGATGAGACTGAAAAAGGTTAACTGCTTGATTAACATTTAAAAGAAAATAAAAAATAAATAAATGAAACAAGAGCACCGCTAGGCGGAGCTTATTATATGCCTGAAAGAACTTTTTCTTTTTGTAAGGATGAAGCATTTGTAAGACATGGGAATTAAATACAGTATTTCCTCCTTCAAAAAGCAATCCTCCTTTATATTGGGCCAAATGGAACTTAAGTTATGCTCCGGAAACCATTTTCTGTTTAAGGGTAATAGTGACCTTGACTTTTGACGGTGTGACCCAAAAATCAATAGGTGTCTTCTACCCAATATTGACAAACATCCTATGAAGTTTAAAAATTGTGGGCCAAATGGAACTTAAGTTATGATCCGGAAACCATTTTCAGTTTCAATATAATAGTGACCTTGACCTTTGACCCCAAAATCAATAGGGGTCTTCTACCCAATATGGACAATCCTCCTATGAAGTTTGAATACTGTGGGCCAAATGGAACTCAAGTTATGCTCCGGAAACCAAATTGCTAACGGACGCCAAGGGGTATAACATAATATGCCCAAAATTCTTTCGGGCATATAAAAAGTAAATATTACTGAAATTTAAGTGATACAAGACAGTTTTCATTAATCAAGGCTCACCAAGAATTTACTAGGTGTTGGTTTAATGTATAGTTGGAAGAGTGATTTAACCTAATTTTGAAAATTATGCCATTGTTTTACAGATTATTATATGGAACAAGAAGAGTTCAATGATGAATTTGACGAGACTGAAAAAGGTAAACTATTTGATTAACATTTAAAAAATAAAAATAAAAGAAAGACATTCTTATTTTATAATGTAATAACCACATCATCCCATTCTTGCCAATTTTTTACATTTTTATCTGAAACTAAGTTAAAATCTTTGTTAATTTGAGGAGACTGAAAAAGGTAAACTATCAGATTGAGATGACTTTGGTAGCAGGGACCCGTATTATCTGCACAATAAGCCTCAAAATGGTGAAAATTCATGTAAAGTTACACAGAATCCCTCCCCCCCCCATGGGGAACAAGCATTTTTATTACCTTTAAGATTCACATTAACGTTTCCTTGACCTTTTAAAAATAAAAATAAACAAATCCTAGAATGTGGGAACTCTCTTATTAAAATTACAATGGTTGTTGACATTTCAGAAGACTTTACTGATGTAGAGACCGATAGAAGCAGTGGAGATGATAATGAAAGCAACGGAGGTATAATTGCACAATTGAAAAATAAACCCTACTGTTTTTTTAAGAAATAATATATTTCATTGCGCAATAACGCCCTCATGATGTAATCCCCGCTTCGGAATGACAGTGATGTTATCAAGCAATAAAATCTCCAATTTGGATATATTATTTCGATTCTAACACGGTGTCAACAAATAAATGCTGCCATATCTGATATTTAGCTATTTTGCGTCAGATTATTTTCCGTACTTATCGTCGGCGCGTCACATTTTTAGTAGTTACGTCACATGTATAATGATTACGTCAAATGTCTAAATATAGAAAGTCGTACAGTGATTTTTTAGCATATTAACGCACTTTAGGCTCTTCTAAATTCAATATCGAAAAATGCGGGTCATGTTAGAATTGTTGTCAGAAGTATTAGGTAAACTAATAACACATGTTTAGTTTCAAATCTAAATTTATAAAGGGTGGTTCTGGACAAAATATGTTATAAAGCTAAACCCTTTTCATATGCTTAATTGCACAAATGTAAAAAATCAGCAGAAAAAGTCTTTTATCTCTATACTCCGAGATCACAATTTCAAAAGCGTCTGTAAATACTGTTCCAACACTGTAGTGGGATGAATCCAAACAATATAGATTGTTCATTATTTTCAGATTCCAGCGAAAGCGACAGCAATGAGTCCAGTCTGAAAAGAAAAGGTAATATCAATACATAGTCTTGGCCTAAAATAATATATCGTTTGCTTCTTCTACAAATACCCGATTTGATTTTCTTTAGACAAGGCGTTAGCCTATAAAAGTGCAATTTGAGAAGGCTCCACACCTCAGCAGACACTAGAGATACAAGGGGCTCGTGAACCAGTTCTTATTGAATAGATCCCTTGGTTCTTTTACATGCCCAGTGTATATCACTGATACATGCGATTATTACCTGGGCTTAGTACCATTATACCTCTGGGTAGGTAGAAAACATTGTTTATGAAAAATCACAAGGGCGTTCAACGGGATCGAACCAGGACTTGAGAGTCAAAGTCAGTGGTGTAACCAACTGAGCTATCGCTCCACCGTACCAACAAACGGCAGAGCTATGCCCAAAGGACACGGATGCCCCCACTTACAACATATATATAGTATATAGTGAAAAAATCAACAAAGGGCCATAATTCTGTTAAATTTGGTCGCAGCAAAAATTCCTTCCTTAACTACCATCTACACATTAAGGTTGTTCATCCCTGAAAATTTAACCAAAATCTAACATCCGGTTAAAGGGGAGTTGCGTTCACAAAATTTCTATATGGTATATAGTGAAAAAATCAACAAAGGGCCATAATTCTGTTAAATTTGGTCGCAGCAAAAATTCCTTCCTTTACTACCATCTCAATATTAAGGTTGTTCATCCCTGAAAGTTTAAGCAAAATCTACCATCCGGTGTAAGAGTAGTTGTGTTCACAAAATTTCTACATAGTAGATAGTGAAAAAATCAAGAAAGGGCCATAATTCTGTTAAATTTAGTCGCAGCGAAAATTCCTTCCTTTACTACCAAAAATCTGCCATCCGGTTTAAGACGAGTTGCGTTCACAAGATTTCAGGACGTACGGCGTGACAGACGGACAAGTGCAACGCTATATGCTCCCACTCTGTGGGGGCATAAAAAGTTATCCGGCTACAATATTTTTCAATACTAAACCAGGAAACAGTGTCAATAAGAACCACATCTGTCTGTCTTATGGTTTTTAATTGTAAACTAGAACTATCACTAAATGTGATTAATACCCCCGCAAGACTGCTCCGGAAATGAGCATGTTACTAGTAACAGAATACCTTGTAAAACAATTGAAATACAGTTATGGTTGTGGGCAATTAAAGATAGTTGTTGTTCTTGTATGTTGTATTTCCTTTCAATGTGGTTGGCCATTGATGAAGTTTTATTGAATTACTCTGCAGTAAGTCCAGAAAGACAAGGAAATGGAACAAAGGGCAATAACTCTATAAATACTGAAGATGGAGTTATGGTTATTGTGCACTGGAATGGAAAAGTAACAAAGGGCAATAACTCTATAATTACTTTAGATAGAGTTATGGTTCTTGTGCACTGCACTTCACCTTATTGTGCTTGACGATTAATTGTATGAAGTTGTTTTGAATTCCAATCCGTAATTTTCAAGTTATGCTCTGGACAAGGAAAAGTAACAAAGGGCAAGATGGAGTTATGGTTCTTGTGCACTGCACTTCCTCTCAATGTGCTTGACCATTGTATGAAGTTATATTGACATCCAACCATTAGTTTTCAAGTAATGCTCCGGACAAGGACAATGCAACGGACCGCATTGACAGACCCACTTCATTTTTGGGGGTATAATAAACAAGGCGTGGATTCACGAATTAAACTGAAAATGTGATTTTAATCTTTATACAGATCCCAGATATCATTTAAAATTTCTTGTCTAAAAATTCTTTAAATTATTAATTTACAAATTTCAGAAAAGAGGGGACGTCCAATTGGATGGCGCAAAATAACATCAGAAAGTTGTGAATCAAGACCAACAAAAAGAGGTATATTACATTTTGACACCTGAAATTCACTTTAAGATTTTTTTTATTTTACACGTTACCCATCCTATTGCAATTTTCCCCTTCAAAAGGGCACCGACCCCCTTCCCCCAAAAGTGAAAAAAGCACTGACTGCACAGGCTGAGCAACATTCCAGCAAGGTTTCTTGACTCTAGGTAAAATATTATTTGAGTTCTGTGCAACACAATTTGAAAATTTTTACTAATTCAAGGGCAATAAATCAAAAAATATCCACAAGAAAATACCCAGGTGCACAACTACACATGCTGAGCAACATTCATGTAAGGTTTCATGACTATAGGTCAAATACTTTTTGAGCTACGTGCGACACAAAAAAGGGAACGAACGGACAGACAAGGGTAAATCTAAATGATCCCCCCCTATAATGGGGGCACAAAAATTATCAAAATTTTCAAATGTATATCAATTATTGATGGGCAGAAAATTTGAAAGATACATGACAGCCAGTTTTACTCTATGGCAGTCTGGAGGACAATTAAATCCCCTTCAGCAGTGAACATGAATGTGTACTTAAGACTTGATTTTTTTATAACAAGAATGACCTTTGAAAATATTTTTCTTTTATCTTTTTAGATTTACTAAAAAATTGTTTATTTCATTAGTTTTAACTATAAATGCTCTTGTGCTATTTGAAAAGATTGAAGTATATGATCAATGCTAGATCTGCAAATGAAACAATAAATTTGTTAAAAAAAAAAAAAAAATGAAACATGGAATTTAAAAATCTATGTTAAGTTTTTGACCTTTTACACGTTGACCATCCTATTGCAATTTTCCCTTCAAAAGGGCACCGACTCCCCTTCCCCCAAAAGTGAAAAAAGCACTGACTGCACAGGCTGAGCAACATTCCAGCAAGGTTTCTTGACTCTAGGTAAAATATTATTTGAGTTCTGTGCAACACAATTTGAAAATTTTTACTAATTCAAGGGCAATAAATCAAAAAATATCCACAATAAAATACCCAGGTGCACAACTACACATGCTGAGCAACATTCATGTAAGGTTTCATGACTATAGGTCAAATACTTTTTGAGCTACGTGCGACACAAAAAAGGGAACGAACGGACAGACAAGGGTAAATCTAAATGATCCCCCCCTATAATGGGGGCACAAAAATTATCAAATTTTTTTTGACATATCATCTAATCATTGTGACTATTTGTGCCAAGCATTTTCAAAATCCTTTAATCTATGAAGTAATGGACCGGACACAAAATATATCCTGTAACAGACTATGCAAGTATTTGACCTCCAAGTGTGACCTTGACCTTGGAGGTAGGGGTGCAGGTGTTGTACTTGACATTGTCTTATTGTGACTATTTGTGCAAAGTTATTTCAAAATCCCTTGAACTATGAAGGAGTTCTAGATCCGCCACAAAATACAGCCTATAAGACTATCTTTATTTTTGACATACAAGTTTGACCTTAACCTTGGAGGTAGGGATGCAGGTGTTGCGCGTGACACATCCTCTTATTATAGTGACTATTGGTGCCAAGTATTTTAAAAATCCTTTGATCTATGAAAAAAATTTGGACCGGACACAAAATATATCCTGTAACAGACTATGCAAATATTTGACCTCCAAGTGTGACCTTGGGTAGGTTACCGGTTTTTGCGCATGACACATCGTCTGTTTGTTGTGAACAATTATGGCAAGTATTTACAAAATTCCTTCATAGATAAGTTATAAACCCGACACGACATATACACTCAAATAGACAATGTTGACCTTGAATTAGCAAGTGTGACCTTGACCCTGGAGGTAGGGGTCTGGTTGTTGCGCATGACACATCGTCTATTTATAACAAACATTTGTGCCAAGTTATTTCAAATTCCTTTCAGAAATGACAAAGTTATGGACCGGACATGAAAAAGGCGGGGGACAATTGGTATAAACGTGAAGGATAAATTTAAAGAATTACTGGTAGCGCAAGCAAGGAGCCTGGTAGCACTGATTACTAACTAAAATTAAGGACAAAGCCATTCCTTTCGGTTTAAATTATGATTTATTTTTGTAATGGGCCTTAACAATAACTCTGGCTGACATTTAGACCAAATGCATGAATCAATAAATACTGTAATGATTTCTGCAAAAATAAATTGCATAAATGTGAAAAACTATAAAAGATCGAGGTCAGATTGAATATCTATAACTAAAAGTCAAATGTATGCTATACCAGTGATTTTTCCCTCTACTTTGGGAATGGTGCCGGTACCAGACCAATTGGGAAAAAATGCGTACTGAAATTGGGAATTTATTAACAAAATCGTTACCGATACCAGATACTGAACGTCCGGTAACAAGTTTAAAATAATTTACTTTAAGATACCTTTTCAAGATGAAATTTGGTAAATATAAATGAAACTTTTATTAGAAATTATGAAAGATTTGGATGAGCCAAATTTGTATGTCTACTCTACTGTAAAGACAGAGGCAAAGTGATTTTTTGGTATATGAACGCTCAGGTATTAGCTTTTGGTATGCAAATTAGGTGTTTCAAGGTTACAATTGAAAACAAATATGTCATAATATGTACTTCCTTATTAAAACAAATATACAATTCAAATCAATAAATAATACATAACAGTTAATCTATTAATCAACTTTGCCTCAGAAAACATACATGAATCTGACCTCGTGTTGAGATTATAAATAGAACTAAATCAGAAGTATAAAAAAATAGCGGCCATGTACTATAAAATTGATTTTTTTTTGTTTTAGAAGTGAAGATGAATAAAATTATTAGTATACTTAATTAAAACAGGTATTTTTCTAACAATTTGTTAAGTATTAAAGGCATGACAATAAGTATTTATGTAAATATGACCTCTAGTGTTAAGAATTCTTAATTATACATGTAAAAATGTGAAATGAACTAAATAAATGTAAGTAAAAATGTAACAATAATTATGGTAATTATACATGGTGCTAGCAGAGCAACAGATAAGGTGTGTATTTGCATATTTATGCAATTAATTTTATAACATACGCAATTGATTTCTTAAGAATGCATTGCTTTCTTAAGAATGCGTATCAAAACCCATTTAAAAAATAAAATACGCTACATTTTCCCCTTCAGAAAGCCACAGGTTGTTTTGAAAATTGGAAAAAAATCACCGGCCCTGAATCGCTCACAGAAACAACCATTTTTAAATAACTAGCTTATTTATTGATTAATGTCCATTGTAGATTTTTAATTAATCAAATTTTTATTGACTGACTATGCCTTGTACTTTGCAAAATGTCAAATTGGGCGAGGTCACTTTCTTAAAAGACCAAAAAATTTCTTTTTCAGCAAAGAAACAAATGTCACCAAATGAGATTCCAACGTTTTTCTGCTGTCTGAAAATGTGTGCTGTTGCACTTAGTGTAACTACTGTAGAAATGGCAAGACAAACTTTTCAGGCAATGAAGAAAATGGATAGATCTGAATACATTCTGAACTGGATTAGAGACCATTCAAGGTAACAATTTTATTGATGATAAGCCTATTTCTTACATATTATTTAGAGACTTGACAAGTATGATGTTAAACTTTCAATTACCTCTAACATTTTCATTTTGAAAAGTAAATACATAAAGAATAATATTCAAAATTAAGCAAATAATTAAAATGTGTTTCATGTATAATCTGCAATAATTAAGGTATGAAGATAGCAGAACTGCTGCAGAAGTTCACAACTTTCTTGAGTGGTTAAAACTTAACAATATAAAAAAAACCAGTCCCACCCAGTTCGAGTTCACCAGAAATGAAGATGAGAAAGCTGCTGAGGCATAAAATAATTAATGAAGGGAAAATCTACTCATTTACAATTAATTTAAGTTTTTAAATAAAGATAATGACATATTTTGAAACGAATTATAGCTTTATATGCTTTGTGAATAAAAAAAATAGCAGTGTCTCTATTTCCAGGGGTTATTCAATTGAAATAAAATAGTTCACATTGCTTAGAATACATTCATTTTTTTTAAGACTTAAGCTATTTGAACTGGCATTTTTCATCAGTATAATACACATATACAATTATTAAAATTAAAACATATCGAGATATAACAATTTATATTATTATTATTATTATTATTTACCAAACTTATATAGCGCCCTTTTCATATACATGTTCAAAGGCGCTTTACAATGATATAAACTAATAACTAATTACAACAGTACAATTTAAAAACTAAAACAGCATTCACATAATAAATCTACGACATAATAAGAACAAGAATATGAGACAATCAATTAAAATGTGGTATTTACCGTTTTACAATGATATAAAAACTAGTAACTAATTACAGCAATACAATTTAAAATACTAAAACAGCATTCACATAATAAATCTACGACATACTAAGAACAAGAATATGAAACAATCAATTAAAATGTGGTATTAACTTAGTCGTTTAGAATTAAAATAATTGAATATCGACAACATCGATAAAATATTCTAGCGAAATTTCTAAAACACCAAATTAGAAATAATGTATTTTATAATCAACACCTTAATTATTTGTAACTGTCTTAAAAAATATTAGCAGAATTAAAACAAATTGTAAAATTATGGTTGATATCACACAGTAGTCACACAGTTTTCTAAAATCACTGTCTCAGATTATTCACGATAAAACATAGGCTTGTTTGAAATAGTGTGTTTTAAGTGCACGTTTAAAAGAACACAATGAGCTCGAGTCTCTCACACCAGACGGCAGATCGTTCCACAGTTTCGGAGCTGCATATTCAAATCGTCGGTCGCCAAAGGTTACAGTTTTACTCGTTGGTACCACTAAAGTAAGTGCTTTGTTCTGAGATCGTAGATTCCTTCGTGGTTTGTAAACACATAACATTTCTTCCATATATTCCGGCGATTTTCCATTTAAAGCTTTGTAGGTATGTGTTAAAATTTTTAACTGGATTCTGTATTGCACCGGAAGCCAATGTAATTCTTTAAGTACAGGTGTAATATGATCGTACCGTGAAGTTCTGGAGATGATGCGGGCAGCTGTATTTTGAACAATCTGCAGTTTGTTTATTAATGTTTGAGGTACTCCATACAATAATGCATTGCAGTAATCTAGGCGCGAAATGACCAATGAAGTGACAAGTTGTTTAGATGCATCAATTGTCAGATATTTTCGAAGTCTTCCTATTTGTCTAAGCTGATCATAACATGATCTGCATACCGAATTGATGTGATCTTCCATGTTCATGTTTGAATCAAAGATGGCACCTAAATTTCTAACATTGACCGATTTGTTTATTTTAGAGTCACCCACGGTTATCGATAGATCTTCAATGTGTTTGGAGTTATACGGAGATGAGAACATGATGACTTCTGTTTTATCAGTATTTAGTTTAAGAATGTTTTCATTCATCCATGATATTATGTCTCGGAGACACGCTTGTATGCGTTGTAATGTTTCTTCCTTAGAAATGTCATCTAATGGTTTGAAAGATAGATACAGCTGTGAGTCATCGGCGTAGAGATGGTATTGCAGTCCGTGATCTTTGCAAATGGCACCAAGTGGTTTAGTGTACATAGTATAGAATTTTGGCCCTAAAACGGACCCCTGTGGAACACTAAAATTAAGTGTGACCGGCTTTGACAGCACACCGTTAATGTATACTGTCTGTTTTCTATCTTGAAGGTATGATGTTATCCACTCCAGTGGTTTTTCAGCAATTCCGAAAAACATTTTCAAGTCTCTGTACTAAGGTTTTGTGATCTATTGTGTCGAAAGCTGCTGATAGATCTAGCATAACTAAGATTGTCACATTTCCATGGTCAAGGGATTTTAGTACATCATTTTGGACTTTGATAAGTGCAGTCTCTGTCGAATGGAACTTGCGATAGGCTGACTGATACTTTTCTTGAAGTTGATTTGTTGTCACATGTTCATCAATGCGAGAGCTTACTACTCTTTCAAGTGTTTTCGATACAAACGATAAATATATATATATATCATATATAGGCTGCATGCCAATTGAATGTCAGAAACAACAATGACAATAGTTATTAAAACTCATTTCTGTTTTTAGTCAAGAATTAAATAATTTCACATTTACCTAAAAAAAGACGATTGAAATAGATTTTACAGTAATCAACATCAGATACTATAGCTTGCATAATAACAATCATCAATTGGCCTTTCAGTGGGCAAATTTTCCAAAAACCATTTTTATGCCCAAATTTTATAACAATTGCACAGGAAATTTTTGATTTTTTAAAATGGGTTAAAACATTATAAAAATTTTTTTTTCCCCATTTCTTCAAGGTTTTCCATTAAAAATTAAGCTTTGGGGAACATAAGTTAATTTAAATACATTCAAATTAGTTTGGGCCCAAAATGGCATTTCCCGGGGTGCTTTTCATTTTCCATGCTATAAAAAACTTTAAAATTAAAAACCCCTGGGATTTAGCAAATTCATTTTATTACTTGTTTTAATGGAAAATTTTTCCCTTTAAAAATTGGCCCGGGGATTGAGAACATGAAATTATCAACAACTTTCAATATTGGCAGCCAAAATGTATGCCTAAATGCTTTCCTAAGTGTGCTGGCATTTCCCCGCAGTACATACTATGAAATAAAGAAAATGTAAGTAAATTTTCTTTTCATTCTCATTAACTTGTTGTTCTCATAAAATTGATATTCAAAGACATGAAGACACACTACTACAATTGCAAAACCAGAGTATTTACAATCAGTAAATTTCTATAAATATGTATTAATTATCGCGTTTCATATAAAGGTATGAACCGAACCCGTGGTGAATTTTTTTATCTTCGGATAAAAGTTTATTTTAAAAAGCACAAACTTCAATACGCGGGATAGGAGGTTTAACTTTGAAGAATATGAAATAATTCACAGTACTTGACTAAGACATAAAAAAATTGTATGAAGGTCTTCTGACAATTTTTTAGCTGGTAAACCATACACTAGTCCGGGGCGACTTAAAGGAATCAAAGGTGCATCTGCCAATTTCTTTATTATGTGGATGAACAACTTTTCTGTAAAACATGCTGAGAAAATACCAAACAGTGCAAAGTGAGTTTATACATATAATTTCCTTATCTAAAAAATCTAATTTTTTTTATATTGTACTTTAATTTTAAAAATTGAAGCTAAAGTATGTAATATTTGTATCTCTTGTCCCAGATGTGGATGTGACCAATTAAGAAGAGAAACTTTTTTTTATGATCTAGGTAAAATTCCTAATAAACCCCCCCCCCCCCCCGCACAGGCCTTTTGATGAGGAAAACAATCTAATCATCAGTGCTGAACTCAGAATTAAAGCCATAATTTTATTCAAATCATTCATAATCCATTTAATTTTATAGTAAACACAAATATGTTTAATATGAACTTTGAAATCTTAACACTTTTTAAAGTTATTTCCAACACTTGCTAACACTAAATGTATTTACAGTGATTTTTTGATTTAGGCAAAACTGTGTTGTAATAATAGCCCCCCTTTTTGAAAATGTTTCGCCCCCGGGGGCGTTAAATAGGAATTTTACGGTATATTGCTTTTGCCACCTAAGAGAAACTTTTTTATTATCTAGGTTAAAGTTAAGTGGAATGAAATGATTATTCTACCTGGTTTTCTTAAATGTTTTAATCAAATAAACCTTAACTGTTGATAACAAAATTTGAAAATCTTTAACCATTTCCAGGTTAATGAAACTTTAAATGTAGTGATAAATAAAGCAATATGTATTTAGATTTCACCTGCCTTGCTGTTTAACCAAATATTCTGTTTGGGAATTGATGTGCACAGATGCACAAAAGGAAACCATTGAACCACCAAGTTATAGTCATTCAATGAAAATTTGGAGAAGTCAACTCAACCACATTAAAATCCCTAAGGTAAGTATATGCTTTGGTAAATGTTTAAAGACAAAAACAATTCCCCTAAGCATGACAAATTTACAATATGGTTACAATCAAGATAACCCCTAGACACATAGATAATCAAGTCAATTGAAAAATATTATAGTCACACTCTTTCTAACAAAATTTTTTGAAAATCCCCCACCCCATGTTTTTTTCAATGTAAGTAAAATCAATAACACCCAATTTTGAAACCAGGGCTTTTATTTCAACAAACTTGGTAGACAATAATAAGAAAATTTTTCATGATAACTATCAAAACTCTAGCTGTTCGAGTCTTAATGAACATTTTTCAAGTTGCCATTACATACAAATAAAGAAAATTGAAAAATGCCCAGGACAGGGCCAATTTTGATCTCAGGGCTTTTTATTTGAACAAACTGTTGTCTAATATCTTATATCTGAGCTCACTAGCTCTCAAGGTTTTTAACAGATTTCCTCAGAGTCCTAAATGGCATTAAGTCTTTGAACAAATTTGAATAAAAAGTGAATTTGGCTTAGTTGTTTGTGAAAAGATGTTTAAAGTAAAAGATTAGCAGAGACACCTGACAAATCACAATGTTTGACAGTTGAGCTAAAAATAAACACTAGATTATTTATCCAAATATATCAGTTACACTGTGCTGCTTTTGCGACTCCGTCATAATTGGCATAAACTCATTCAATATCCCCTATATATGTAATGTCACCTGAATAATTTGAATTGTTATATATTGCTTCTTTTATCACAGTTAGGACATTACTTTTACAGAGAACCAGGTTCAGCAAGTGCGACACATGCATTCAGCTTAAGGAAAGGATCGCGGCAACAAATGAAAAATCAGTTAGAGAGCAATTACAATGGCAGCGATCAATCCATTTAGAACAGCAAAAGTAATAACTTTACAATAATTGATCTCATCATACCCCACTACCTTGAATTATGATAATAAAATTGATTTAGCTTGATCAGTCATATAAAAAACACCATAAATAGATATTGTAACAAGAGTCACAAGTTTTGTGAAAGAAATCAAATTAATCATTAAGAATATTTTAAAAAATGAAAATTGAACGTATTTGTTAAACAAAAAGGCACCAAGCTCCGATTCATGCACTTTGTGTTGATTAGGAAGTGAAACAATTATGAAGCCATTGGTATTATATTGGTATAACTGAATAATGACATGTCGCTTCCAAACAGCTAATTGAATACAACACACCTACACATGCTGTTCAAAATTCCGATAAAGTTTCATAAGTCAAATACTTTTTTGAGCTACGTGTACAACTAGTTAGAAATTTGCAAATTTTTAAAAAACCAAGGGCCAAAACTCTACAAATATGCAATGAATTCATAGACATACAACCAGGTGAACAACTGCATATGCTGATCAACACTGCAGTACAATTTCGAAGAACAAGGGCCATAACTATGACAACATACGTACAGATGGTGAAAATAATATGTACTCTATGGCATAAAAATACAATAAGAAATACAATAAGTTCTTTCCAAATTCCAAAATTGTTTAGGTTTTTTTCTTCTTTCAACAAGCAATCACTTTTGTCTTTTTTCTATTTGCAGTAAGGAGCGTCAGAAATATTACAAGCACATATCAAAGGCAAAAAATAATCCTAACAATTACCTTAGTATAATTATGGATGCCATGGACCAAGATAAAACAGCTATTCCACGTTTGTGTGAAACACCGAAATCATTGGGGAATATTTGGAGGCTGAAAGTGAACTTAATGGGAGCAATTGTCCATGGCATTGGAGTATACGGCTTCTTTGATGCCTTTCAATGGGCACATGGAGCTTCCTACACTTTATCAGTGCTAGTGCATATTCTTTCCATGTTAGATTTCCTGCCTGATGTCCTTTATCTTCAGCTCGACAACTGTCCTGGACAAAATAAGAACAGGTTTAGCATTAAATTTGAGATCATTTCAATAAATAGTAAAAAAATATTACATTTTATCATTAAAATTAATTATACATATTATTCACAATTTTCATTGTTTCCCTGGAGAAAAGAAATTCTCAACAATATACATTTTGCTTATAAATTCAATAATAGAATATCATTAATTAAATAAGCTATTCATTGCCTATTAAGAATTAATAAAAATTAATTCAAAACATTCAATCAATATCCTCTATTTAATAAATCATAATACACTTACTGCAAATGAACTGTTCAATAAATTTTACAATTCAGATATGTACTAGGCTTTGTTGCCAAGTTGGTGGAAGCAAACATTTTCAAGAAAGTGAAAGTTTCTTTTTTAATGGTTGGACACACACATGAGGATATAGACCAACTTTTCAGCAGGTAATATGGATTTTATATACTACTAAATCAAAAAAAAAAAAAAAAAAAAAACGTTTTAAATGTTTTTTTTTTTTTTTAAATCTTAATACCTAAATATGCTTTCAGATGCAATTTCTGTGCAAATCGCGCAGCCTAGATGCAACACTGCGTACATAAATTGTGTAGTTAATACTAGTGTCTTAGTCTTTCCTATCTATTTATTTATGAAGAAGACATGGATCTAGACATGTAACTGTCACATTGTGAAAAGAACTGCCTCAAATCTTTATTACTGGAAAAATTTTATTGTACAATTGACCAACCTGTTGCAACATATTCCCACAATGATGGCAGTAGTAAATGTCATGTTCATTGAACGCCGCCCTTCCTTGTCGATCTTGCTCATCTTACATACTATAAGTAGTAACCCGAAATTCATAACTTCAAACAAAACCTGCAATATAGCATTTCAAATATATTATATACATAAAATGGTGCATTGAATTAAACAAGGAATTTTAGTGTATGCTCAAGTGGAAATCCAATTTAATTAGATGTGGCCAGATCAATTTATTTATTGATATAATTATCCCAAAGTTTGGGTAATCTATCAGTAATGTCTAGTCACTAATACACTAATGTACATATTTTACAACATAGGTGAGCAAACCATCAGCGACAATGAATTTCAGTTCAAACAAATAAAACCTTATAGATAAAAATATATATATTCTATATTACTATAATATTAGTCACAAAAATAATTTGAAAATCAATGTTTTAATTCACAAGTGACAACAATTTATACAAAATAAATACTTGTCCAATTGATAGTTTAAAAAACATTAATACAAAATTCAAGATATGCAGACCATTAGACAAATGCACTCGACGTCCACTAGAATTTGCCATCAAAAAATTCTCCAGATCCAAATATATATTTATTACATACTTTAAAATAATTGAAATATTTGCATAATTATATTGATGAAATAAAATGTTTGTTTTCATTTTCTATATTTTCAACGTTAAAAAATATTTTTCAATTACAGTGAAATGTACTTTCTGTATAAGTAGATCTATAATGTAAGAAAAGTTTTTCAATTGTTTAAAGTTATTTAGCAGAACTAGAAGTAGACATTTAATAATGAAATGAATTTTTTTTTTAACATTTGACCTTTAAGTGTGACCTAGATACCGGAGAAAGCAACCCTATTATTGCGCTCTGCACATCATGTGATTATTTAGAGATTAATAGACGGCAGACAAGGGCCGGAAGGTGATAACCGGCTCGCAAAATGAATAATGGCCCCGGCTTTAGAAGGGAAATATGTGCTTAGGACTACATTTAGCCGTTGTTATTCAAGTTGCAAGTACATACGCTACTGTAAGAAATTAGTTATGAATGAAATGACTTTAATTTCCATAAATATATATCATACCGAGATAAACCATTTTAAATATGAAATAATATGGCAGAATATGCAAGAAAAAATATCTGACATATGTTTACGGTTATGATCGGAATATCCAACCTGCGGTAACCCGCCATTGGGCAGTTAATCAGCAAGCCTCGTTACCGCCCAATGGGCAGCTCCACTCTCGATGGATATTCCCATTCAAACAGCAACATATGACCGATATTAATATTCTATAAAAAATCTTAAAACTGCAAACACCATTCATTTTCAAACAAAACTAAAAACCTGAAATTGACCGTAAGACTATCAGCAAAAAAGTTAAAAATAATACTCTAGTTTATAAAATTCAGGGGCAGAAAAGTCGGTCTGTCATTGATGGACACTTTTGTATCAATATATGGAGAGACAAATATCGACGATATATAGACTTTTAACAGATACAATAAAAAACATTTAAATGTGTGCTATAAATTGTGATCATGGTGTTATGCATGCGGCTATTAAGACTAGAAATACTACAAACAGAAAGTTTCTTTTTTCTGTTATTTTTGTTAGTCACATATGAAAACAGAGTTTAAAGTTCAAGTTAGCATGGATAACTGTAAAAAAAAGTGAAAAGTACATATTTACAAAAAGAAATAAATTAATGTTATCTTGTATCGACATTTGCAAATGTGTATCAAAATTGAATAGGATGATGAATATCGATGATACATAGATATCGCGATATTCAATGTCTTCACTCCTAGTCGGTGTCCGTGATTACATGAAGGGCAAGTAAATTTGAAGGTTAAGTCCTATATTATGATACAAGATTCATTGTCTGTATACAACATTGCAGCCTAGACTTAACTTATGATTATACATTCATAACAGGTTTTCGGTCAGAGCTTCCAGAGAAGACATATTTATCCTGGATGATTTGATAACAACCTTTGAAAAATGCTACAAGCAGCTTCCAGTGACGGGTATTCTATGAATTTCTCAATGCACATTACCTGCAAATTTTATGAGGCAGCTAAATCTCGTCTTAAATTGCCAATTTTGTCATCACAGCTTGCATGAACTGGAGTTTCCAGATAAACTGCAATATATACACAACTAGTTAGAACTATTTATATTTGCTGGTTAAGAATACACTTTTACACTTTCAATTATCTATTACAAATTTTATTACTTGTTATAAAGTATATTTCCTTTAAAAATAAGCAAATATTCCGAATGGGATTGATGTAAAATATGCTAAATTTCAGGAATGAAGATAGCCGAGGTTTATGATTTTCAGGAGTGGTTACAACTGAACAACATTAAAAATCACTCCCACCCACATGTGTTTAAGTTTACCAAAAACGAAGATGGAAAGGCAACAATGAAATATAAAAAGTGGTCCACAGACAAGGTAATGGTGTTACATCATTTTCAAGCGAAACCAGGAAACAGTGAATGCAACACTTGCTTTGTTGATATTGATAATTTCTTTTCATAGTTAAAACAAATAGTGAAAACCAGTAGATTGACAAGTAATGATGAAAAGTAAATAAAAACAGAAAAAAAGAATTTTTATGAAAAGTGGCAGACTGACAATCCATGCAATTGTGCCTAAATTGCATCTCGATACAAATAAAACGTAATTTATTTTGCACAATAAATTTTAAAATGTTTTGGGCCTATGATTATTTGTCCTGGTCTATACTTCTGCCAAAGTTAAAGGCCCATATGGCCTATGATCAGACTGCCAGATTCAACAAAAGCAATTACACCAAATGTTAATTACCAAAACTTGAAAATGCCAAAATATGAAAAAAAAGGCCATTATTGCGTTAGAAATACATGTAGAAATTTAGAAAAAAAATGTATTAAAATCACATGAAAATTATTACTTTAATCTTGAATCTTGTTAACTTAAAAGAGAGACAATTTTATACTAAAACATTGAACAAAGTTGACTTTAGATAATTATTCAAGGACTATTTTACTATTTCAAAGAAATGGATAACAAGCACAGGCAGTGACAAGTACTTACTTCAAGATATGGATGATAGTCCAATTAACAAAATCAAACCAAATGTTGACAATTTAGATTTCGAGAGATTGAGACACGACACAGATCAAGTGGCAAGGTAAATCTAAACATTGAAATTTTTCACTTTTGCATGAATTAATGTAAAATGGGTTCCAGATATGGTTTTCAGTGCAATTGGACATGTATTTAAAAGTTTTGTAAAAATACAATATCACAGTCTTTAACTAAATATCTAAATGATTTCTGTGCTAAAACCGTATTCAGTTGATTCAGATATTTATGCTGTTTTTTAATTTTAGTAAGTTAATCGTGAAAATTTACAAAGCATTTTTATGATAAACTGATCACAATAACACTAATGTAATTATAAATAATTAACTGAAATTATTTAGGAAATAGATATCAATTCAGAGTGCAATGTTGTAGAATAATATGCAATAAGAGTGTTCAAATGCGTAGTAATGATTAATTACAAAGCATTTGAACGAAAAAAAAATATGCATTATTATAAAATATTGCACAAAGAATAAATATCTATTTCAATTTTAACACGTCAAGTTGGACTTTATGTTTGGTGGTTAAATTTGCTTTCTCCTCAGTTTCCAATAAAACAATGATTAAGGCATATGTGAGGATTACATTTTTCAGCTGTTCATATATATATTGTGTAATAGTCTGATAGAAGAATTAAGGCCTAAAAAAAAAAAGTGATGTGTTTCTGGTGTAAGGCGAAAAAAAGTAGGGTCGTCGGT